TATTCATTACATACACTATTACTTATCGAAACTGTGTCTTTATGATTATCAATATTTAAAAAAAAATGAACTTAAAATCTGAAATAATGATGTTGAAAAGATAAGGAAGATATACATGTATAAAACAAAAGCACCGTGCTAACTTTATTTTAGTATAAGGGTTAATGCTCCTAAGAATAAATGTAAACCATAAAAACTTAATATGAAGAGAACGTAGAGATGAAAATGTGTGTTAAATTATATAAAATATTAAGTTATAATTTTATTTCTGTATGTCCACGAAACAAGACGATCCAAGATAAAATGAAGACGAGGATCTCTGTTTTTTGCAAGTCACCCACTCATTGACGACGTAAACCTGTGCTATGAAGCAATACGGCTGGAGGGCGTCATATAATATTATATTTAGCGTACACCACTTTATTCCACCTTTTTTGTCTTTCATTTAAAGGAATTATGAGATATAATCCAATTTTGAGAATTGGTTTATGTACTTACTTACGTACTTATATATAAATAATATACCGGTATCAGACTGAGGTTCTTTTTGGGTCAGTGACAGAGAGAAGAGAAGTGATGATAATTAGACATTATGAAATCCTATTTTATGAGAATTAAAGCATCGATGTTGATAACCCCTGATAAAAGTGTATCTACCAATTAACCATACAACGTGTTCGCGTCTGTACACTTACCATTCACAGCAATAAAAATTGTCTCACTAGCTTTACCTTTGATTAAAACACAAAATATTTTTTCGGGATAAAATTAATTGTACACGAACGAATATTATTAGGCACTACATCAACTACCTTAGTTTCTTCGGTAAAAACGCTTTTGCTATGTATAGTGAAAGATTTTTTATTTTATTTTTATTGCCTTTGTAGGTAGACGAGCATACAGACCACCTGATGGTGAGTGGTTACCATCGCCCATGGACTTTAGCAATGCCAGGAGCAGAGCCGAGCCGCTGCCTACCGCTTAATACTCTCCACAAGCCTGAAGCCACAAGTTTGAAGAAGGACATGTCGTAGCGCTCGGGAAACTCAGGGGAGCTCATTCCAAAGCTGGATAGTAAGTACGTGGCAAAAAAGTTCGGTAGGTACTATAATTCGGGAGTATTGGTATTATAATAGTTAAACAAAAGGTTACCCTTAGATCGAGACACCCGACGTCTTATAACGAAGTCAAGTAATTATGTTACCGTGTAAAGATAGGTAGAATTTTCTAGAATCTTTATGGAATACTTAAACTACCGTCATCGTATTCGCGACCACGAAAACTGTCAAGGATTCGAAACGTCCGTGATAATATAATAGCAGTAAAAATGTGAGTACATGTAGTTTTAATCTTGTTTAAGATTCGTAAAAACCGAAGAAAATACTCGTCTTACTTAGTCTAGTTTGAAAACCAGCTTCACATAATGTAAGATAAGTATGTTCCGAGCTTAATTCTAGCCCAGAATGCGGAGGCACGCATGAACGCCACCCATATGAACAATATTGAGGTTGCTCCGGCTAAGAAATGCATGGCACGGAATATTAAGCAGGATACGGAGTCATTACAAAGGAACTAGCTTGGTAATTTATTTGTTGTGAAGCTAATAATAATCAGGATAAATACAATGTCAATGCTATGAGTAATCTAAGAACGTGTTTACAATAAGTTTTTTATCAATTTCAAAGTAAGCTAGGATAGTTGGATAATTTTTTTTGGTTGGCCGTTCTCAGTTCTATTTAAAATTGAAATCAGTGATAGAAAATTAAAGGATCCACATTCATCTATCCTTAGCTAGTTGTTTTTTCTACATTTGGCGTGCTTGATATATCTCACAAAAATGCTTTTTTTTTAAAATTACCAACATTTTTCATTACAATATTATAGTACTGAAGAACATAATATGTGATACTCGTTTTATTGGGAGTAATTGAAACTAATTCATTTTTCATTTTCGATTATATCTTTTTCTAAGGAGTTTGCTTTAAATCAAAATTTCACATCACTCATATCGAAAAAAAAACTATTGTTCGATAGCAGTACTTTTTTCTGAATGAAAGGTACCTATTTACTCTCTATGTCTTCTTCTGCATCCCAGTCAAAGTGTATGTATAATTTTACGAAGAGTGGCTGAGTTGTTAAGACGTCAAACCCTAACAAACAAACTCACTTTGGCATTTACAATATTAAGTATGAATGGTATTATATTTTATTTACTATCATTGGCTGGTTGAAATTATTACGTTGATTGGTTTTTGAATACGGAATGAGAGTGCGTCATTAATGCCAGTTGTGTTATCATCGATCGATTTCACTGATAACTAACGAGAATGTGTAATTGATAAACCGTGTCTTCTTAATGCACGAGTCTCAGGATATCCCCATGTGACAGTATCGGTCTGTTCAATTTACACACAGATGTTGGGGTCTAATTAGAATATGAAAATTTGGCACACAAAATGAAAATTTGGCACACGAAGCAGTGATCGTAGAATATCCGTTAGTAGTGCCAAAAGTTTTGAATCATTGGCAAGTTCTAGGAGTGAATATTGGTCTTTAGAGAAACTTATTGAGAGAATATTAGAATGCGACAAAAACAAAAAACAAAATTTTTTCTTTTACATGCGTCTGCAGCTATCACAACGTGAAAACTGTCACCCATTTCGTAGCCTCTAAGAAAACCAGACTGGACCTCGGATATCTCAATTGTTTATTATAACTATTGTTCTACCGTTCAAACCGAAACGTATTAGTGCTTTGCAATAGAAATAGGCTGGGTGGTCGTTTAGTAGATTGGCCTCAACCATCTTCGGCTCTGGCCTCTACCATCTTGACCACTGAGTCCTACGTGATACGTAGCACTTATTCGTAGGAGTAAAAAAATACTTAACCACAATGTACAGGAATCTCCGACATAAATATTCATAGAACCCGCAAATTTCAATAAAACATCACTAGTATATAGGGCAAACTACGTATTTGCATATCTCTAGTAGTTAATAATTATTAGAACTGGGGATGTGTCAACATGAGCTCATGAATTCTGAACGCATCCACGGTTTCTTAAATAATTGCGTTTACATTACGTGATCATTGAGTGTGTTATTATCACTGCATATGACGACAAAACGTGAACATATAAACTTAGATCCTGGTCATTCGTTTTCGAAGAATAGCATGTTTAAATTTTCTATGGAACAAATACACGTTACATAACCATATTCATGATGAAATAAAAAAACTATACTATTTCTATAAAAATAATGGCATATAGTATAGCAGCAGCTTATTTTTGCAGCAAGATACTAAACTGCTGCGCTAGTGAAAATTCTAAGTGCACAGACGTCAATATGTATCAAGTCTATATATAAATATACAGTCAAACCTGGATAAGCGAGAGTTCAAGGGAGCACAATCTTATTCTCGCTTATAGAGGTTTCTCACTAACCCGAGTTTCTCCTTAATGCACCCTCTGAACTTCATTTCGCGATTTTCCGGATTCAAACGCATTAACTATTTTAAGTTTATCACTTAATGACAGTACTTTAATTTTCCGTTTTGATATGATGCAGAACAGAACTTTCCTTCGCAATTGATTAAGGATAAACTGAGTAAGTTTGACAAACAGGACGGTACACAAGCACACGTGTCCATTCGAAAAGCATACGATAAAATAACAACGTTATTTAGTTCCACGAAATAGAATATTCAATATTGACGAGAAAACATTACAAAAACAATCGTAGGAAGTTCCACGAAAGTTAAGAATGAGTCATAAAATGGCAGATGTTCAATTTGTAATTTGTTTTTTCATTTGTTCCTCCTAAATAATATAAATAAATAAAGCTCGACTGTCGCTTATAGAGGTATAGTTAAGTAGCTGTCTCACTTATGGAGGTCCATGAGGGAAAAACGACTCTCTCTTACAGAGGTTTCTGTTTCTCGCTAATAGAGGTTTTGGGAGCTTAAAATGACGGGTCCTGGCTATTACNTGTAATTTGTTTTTTCATTTGTTCCTCCTAAATAATATAAATAAATAAAGCTCGACTGTCGCTTATAGAGGTATAGTTAAGTAGCTGTCTCACTTATGGAGGTCCATGAGGGAAAAACGACTCTCTCTTACAGAGGTTTCTGTTTCTCGCTAATAGAGGTTTTGGGAGCTTAAAATGACGGGTCCTGGCTATTACTCTCGCTTATAGAGTTTTCTCACTTATCCAGTTCTCACTTACCCAGGTTTTACTGTATATAAATCTCACACTGGCGGCGGGCGGCGGCGTTCTTGTTGAAATGTTTATAGGCTCTGGTACGTGTATATCGGTCGGGCCTTAGTGACAAAAGAACATCATGAGGTAATCAAGAATATAATTTGGAATGTAATTTTGAAGTGAAAACTTCATTAGAATCGTTGTGATTTCAAACCGGATGCAACGGAAAAAACGACTGGTAAGAGACACAAATACAAAAATGTGTAGGATGAAGCCAGCAAAGAATGAGACAGAAATATACATAATATTTAATACAGCGCCATCTGTGAGATTTTTTAATACTAACGTGTGTATGAAAGCTCTTGTAGTGAATTTTAATTTAGGATTATACGNAAACTTCTTTAGAATCGTTGTGATTTCAAACCGGATGCAACGGAAAAAACGACTGGTAAGAGACACAAATACAAAAATGTGTAGGATGAAGCCAGCAAAGAATGAGACAGAAATATACATAATATTTAATACAGCGCCATCTGTGAGATTTTTTAATACTAACGTGTGTATGAAAGCTCTTGTAGTGAATTTTAATTTAGGATTATACGTGAAATTAAAATTTTGAATTTGAATTTGAATTGAATTTATCAATTCACAGAGGGCGCTACCTTACAATTATTTACTAATGACAAAATTTTACATATACTTAAGACGTTTAGGATAATTGTATTTTAATTTTGGAAGGTTTCACTTCTACCACGTGTGAATTGCACACATTTTGTTTTTTTTTTAAATATGTCATAGTTATTGTCGTGGTATATCTTGTGACAAATCCGCAATGACATACGAAAAAGCCACCCAAAACGCGGCACAAGCAACTACGTCCTCTTGATTTTGTACGTTCATTGTGTCACCTTCACTGTGATGAAACCAAAAGTAACGCTCATTCTCATTTAGTAATGATGCCCCGGGAATTCCCTTTTGCACGAATAACGTCATATCCGAGCCCGGATATTCACTTTCCTTCATTTTATCAATGGGTGTAAACAGTTTCAGTACTTCAGCTATAATGCAACGAGCATTGGTACTGCCGGCGACATCTAACCCTAGAGGCTTGAACGTCCCTTCATCAGATTCCATGATAAAATTTATATTTGAAGTTTCGTTAATGTGTTTTGTTAGATATGCTTCAGCACCTATCAGACCGGGCTCTTCTGCAGTCCATAGTATCGCTCGGATTGTTCGTCTTGGTTTTAGTTTTAAAATGTTCAGTATTACAGGAACGAACCAACTTATCATCATACCCCCACCGTCATCCATAGCGCCCTGGCCTACATCCCAGCTATCAATGTGTCCTGACACGATAACTTGTTTTTCGGGGCTTTCTTTGCCTTTTAAATCAATAATGGTATTCCTTGATATCTTTCTGGACATAGCATAAGACATATGAATTTTAAGGACTATTTTTTCGCCAAGATTTTGAAGTCTTCTAAATAAGTCTGCGTCTTCGTGAGTTATAGCTGCAGTAGGTATTTTTGTAACATTATTTTCATAGTCCTGGGCTCCGGTGTGAAGAGAATATATAGAGAATGGTGTAATGCTTCGGACTAAAGTAGCTACAGCACCTTTTCTGGAAGCCTTTGAAGCTCCTAGACTTCTATAAACAACAGTTTCACCATAACTCACAAAAGGTGGATCAAAGACGACAATTTTCCCTTTTATTTTATTTTCATCAGTTTTTTCAAGTTCGTCAAAACTTTTTATTACAATGGCTTCTGCTTTGATACCCTCAGCAGGAGTGCTCACGCTAGTTCCTAACCCAAGGATTGAAATTTTTTTTAAATATGGTTCGAACATGTTTGCCGATTCGTAAATACGTTGCCAGTATGGTATCTGGAAATATATAAACTTGGATAAATAATTAAAATGCTAATTTAGGATTCACATACACATCTTTAAGATATCTCTTATTACATGGATAAGATTGATCAAATCAATCTGTTCTTCTCAAGATCTTCACTATGGAGCAACTTAAATAGGTAACTAAAAATAATAATTCAATAAAATCATTGTCGATGTCAAGGTCGATACTCCGCATATTCTGGCCAGTCACTATCTCTAATAAAGATCTTTGAACTAAATATGACCAAAACCCCATCGCGCAAGACATTTCCCATCGGAAATGGCGTTGGATAGGACACAGTCTACGGCGCAGCGGAGTCAACGCAACATCCATCGCGTTTCAGTGGCAACCGCTTGGCAGAAGAAGACCTGGTCGCCCTGAACACACTTGGCGATGTAGCGTCTCGAGGACTGCCAACGTGATCTGGAGTGATGTCAAGGAGCAAGCGCAAGACAGGGTCAAGTGGACACAGCTTGTGAGGGCCCTATGTACCAGCTGGATACCCTAGGACTACAACAACAACAACAACAAGAAAATCATTGTTAAGATATTGTGTACGAGCGTTATAGCCTGTTAATAAGATCCTTCAACTTTAACACTGCTACTAAAATATATCTTACGTCAACTTCTTCCGTTGTCACGTCGTTCAAGCCATTTTGTCGTGTCAGATTTACCATGTGATCTATAGCTTTTTCTAGAGCTTTACTTCCCGCCAAACGTGCTCCAAATGTATCTATGAACTTAGAATAACTGAAACACAAACGACATGTTTTTGTTACGGCACAAGGATTCAGTTTGTGTGTACGCCCTTATGATTCTAAAGTCAAGTGATTCTAAAGTGGCTTTTTCGGTGAATTCGTTCCGTATATTTCGATTAGTGGGCATGCTCTCATACATGCCTCCTATTAATCAAAAGATATGAACCTTCTACCTCGAACTACTCACCCAACATCTAATTTATATTTTACTCTTGTTTTGAGCTCTATTGGTAGGGCGTTTTATCTTAATTATCTGATTCAGATTAAATCTGATAGCACAGGTGCTTTACTGCAGAAACCGGTGAAGTGATGATTCTAACCAGTGCATCCTTATAACATAAAACTACGCAGCTTACTTAATAAAAGATTGAGCGATAGGCAGGATTGAAATGCTGAGGATACTACGAGTAGATGATACAGAAGCATTTTTAGGACTCGATAAACTGGATATGCTGATACTATCAGCTCAATATTCAGGACTCTTTTACTTCAACTTATGAATTCTCTAACTTAAATAAATAATTGGTCTATGTTGTCATAAAATGCGCATAACTACCTGTAATATCATAAGCAGTCGACAATTTTAGCTGAAACCTATCTAGAGCACTTCTCCCTTGATTTTGACGACTTTTAAGCCTTATAGAAAAGTAAATATTAATGATATTCATATTTATTCAATCCTAAGTAAATTTATTTCAAGACATTTATTCAGTAAACATATGCTTTTTCTTTTAGCCACAACACGTTAAGAAAACCTTTTTATGACTTCGAATTTCAAAGATATGGTATAATTTTGGATACAGACATCACGAGCAATCATATTCAATTAATTGGAATTTAAATGCAAAATTTAATGATCAGCTTTGTATATCAGTTTTGTAAGCTGAAAACACGAGTTTTGGAAGATAATGTTTTTGATATTAGAGGCAATATTTTAAATTAATTTCAGAACGATTTCAAAATACTCCATATTTTAAGACTCAAATATTCTATTCAAACAGAACTAGCGATAGAATTGTTAAATTTAATGAGCACTTCAATATACTGCAATTATACGAGTACATTTATATATGATAATAAATTTAAGCTAAAATTTTTGTAGCAAAAGATAAACTCACTCTTCATACATCTTCGTTCCAAATCCTCCTGACACGATTTTATCAATAATTTGCTTTGTAACATTTTTGTATGATTGTATTTCATCAACCAACTTATTGTCTAAATTACATTCATTCTCCGGATAACTATTTATTATCACGGTACAGTTAATTGAGATTAAAAATAATATTTGCAAAACTATTGAATACATATTGATTCTTTGGAAGTCAAGTCTTTACTGAATGGTGTCTCTTTTGTTATCTCTGTTGTTATTTGATAGTTTATTAGGGTCAACGTTTGTATTAATCGCATGCTCGTATGCTTCCATACGCACATTAAAATTAACACCTCCTTTCAAATATTTGTTATCCGATTCGAATAAGGCCAAACACGGAACGAAAATTACATTCGAAATGGTTTAGCCATTGTTGAGATTAGCTTGTACGATATCTCATTTTTCTTCTTTGAAATCCTTCAAAGATTGAGATATAATTCATGCTTTGATTTATATCTTTATTATTTATTATTTTAATTTTCTATGGGTCTTGATACTCATAGTGCACTAGGTTGATCGTGATTTTCTATTGTAATTTTTGGTCGTTTAAGATTTTGCTAGAATTTAAAAGACAAACGGCAAGAAACTAGATACATTAAAGAATATTGACGAATGAGAAAAATAATACAGAAGGTGCAAAGACTGAGCTCATATGTTCCCCGTTTTTTTTTTGAAATTTGCCGAGACGTGTAATTTATGAGAATATAAAAAGTGCTGATTCTGCTCTAGAGCGGATTTTTCGAAAGAAACCGCATTTTTCGTATCTGAAATGAAGTTCTAGGCGTTTTCTGAGCGCTATGACATGTCCGTCTTCGAACGAAGTCATTCGCAGCAACAGATTGACTATGCTCGTGGTATTGTTAAAGCTCATAAGCTCCAGGGACTGTTTGCCTATCTACTAAGTCGTATCGTCGTCTGCATTAGGCAGTATGAATGGCAATTGTCTTAACTAGCTTCATAGTGTCCACTGCAGCTATTATAAGGCGAAGATTAAGTATACCGGTAGGCAGCGGCTTGGCTCTGCCCCTGACATTGCTGAAGCCCATGGGCGACGGTAACCACTCACCATCAGGTGGGCCGTATGCTCGTCTGCCTACAAGGGCAATAAAAAAAACTGACTGACATGACATTAAAGTTGCTGGGAATCGAATTTTTTGTAGACAATCTATCTATCTAAATATTTTATTTTAATGTTCGAGCACCTTCGATCAGCAATAGTAGTCGAGCACAAAACAAAGTTACATTATGTTATCCTTAACGTTTCTTCGTACAAAGTACAGTTGAACTGTTTACAATTAATGTTGTCGTTCCAGTGATTCTTCAGCTGAGTTTGAGCGATAAAATTTGGGTCACGTAATTCGCAATTTTCGACATAACATTTACACAGCAAGCGTGACAGGTTCAGTACGAAAAAAATCTATGTCGATGATTTCAAAATATTCTGTTGAAAAAATTGTAAACTCTCTCTGGCATGCATCCCGTAACTGAATGGTTAACTCACTTAATTCTTTGGGTGAAATGCCCCGGTACGAAATAAATTATGTAATGGTTTAGTCTCAGGTTGACGCGTTTGTTAGAGAACGAGAGAAAATAAAGTTGAAACAAGATAACGATGATTTTATTAGTAGGTAGGTACGTACCAAATAAAAAGGTATTCCAACAAAACGCGTACGTGCGGGAAAACCGAAATTCACCATTTATGTGGAGATCTGTGAAATATGAGCCGTTCTAAAATTATAGCCGCAGAGAGATAATAAATTTTACGGTTTTACTTTATGACATAGGTAAGTACCATAAATTCGGGTCCCTTGCGACAGTAAATAAATGTCTCGAATTGTGAATGTAATGGGAAAAGTGTACAATTATTACACAATTAAAAATCGGTTGTCTGTAAAGTCGGTTTATTGAACGTGACAACGTCATAAGAAAATACTGATGGAATGGGTTAATTTTTCAAAAGAAAATTTTAATTTTATTTGTTTGATAGATATTTTTTAAGGATAGTTGACACGACATTCACTTTTCACTGAACTTCATACTTGAAAGCATGTAAATGTATTATTGACATTATTGTATAGCAGCTGTCCACGCGGACGCATCGCTCACTCAAGTAGGAGAGAGACAGATGTCGAACGCTGCCGAACACGGAGGCCGATTGTGCCTCTTTGTCCCTCGTTGCGCCCTCTCGCTTGCACTTCAAGCCTTAAATGGAATGCCTCAATGAGTCATGTTTTTTCGTCGCTCAAGTTCGGAGGCATTCCGCTTTTCATTTTATTTGAATTGATTCTATAGCGTGCAATATAAATAATGATATTTTTTTTTATTGCACTTGTTGGCAGACGTGCATACGGCCTGATGGTGAGTGATTACCGTCGTCCATGAACTTCAGCAAAGCCAAGGGCAGAGCCAGGCTGCTGCCTACCGCTTAATACTCTCCACAAGCCTTGTTTTAAGAAGGACATGTCATAGCATTCGGGAATTTGCAGTAGGCAGCGGCTTGGCTCTGCTCCTGGCATTGCTGAAGTCCATGGGTGACGGTAACCACTTACCATCAGGTGGGCCGTACGCTCGTCTGCCTACAAAGGCAATAGAAAAAAAAAAAAGAAACACCCTAGAGGGGAGCTCATTCCCAAGCCGGATGGTACGTGGCAAGAAAGATCTCTGGAAACGCAATGCGGATGACCGCAGTAGCTTCAGGTAGTATGGATGAACTCTACTCCGGTGGCGGGCGGTGCGATGATAAAAACGAGATGATGGTATTATGATGGAATTGAACTAAGTTCAATTTACCCTACTCGGAGACTCGCCCCAGAGAGTTCTCCACTTCAGACATAAGTTTTGATCGACTCTCTTGCACCACGCTTCGAGAGAGACTCTGATGGCCGATATATCGCGCATCCCCCGTGCTGTCATCCGCATAGCAATGCATGCCATCAATAGACAGCATGTCATTAGGATTAAGAGCGTGGGGGAGAACACCGAACCTTGTGTAATGCCAGCGTTAATGGTTTTGGTATCGGTGCCATCACCGTCTAGAACAACCGTGATGCTCCGCTCATCCAAAAAGCTCGTGATGTATTTGCACACTTCGACAGAAGTACCCCATGCCAGACCCTGTCGAAGGCCTTCGCGATATTAAGGCTACATTACATTACATATACTATTAGTAAGTACAAGATTTAGAGTGCTATTCAGTTAAATATATTTATATTTATAATATATTGTTACGCGCTGGGGTTCAGATAAATAATGTTCCACCAAAGTACAACTTAACACTGTATTTATTACTTGGAACACTTAAAACACTTCACAAACACTTTAAAACTCTTTATTCACTTCTTCCGCTTCGCTTCAGGTGATTCGTTCGCTGTTTCGCTTCGAGTAGTTCCGATTACTAGCTGACTGCATGCCATTTTTGCAACGCTTTTATAAGCGATACGATATCCCTAGAATTATCGAGAACATACCTTACAAGTTGTATATTTTCGATGTGGGTGTTTCCGCTATCTGACAATAGATGTCGTTGTACTTTTCGAGCGTTCTAAACGTTACTAGATCCTTTGATATTGGTTTTGGCTATTCGGCGATAGATGGCGATATTCTTACCGGCGTAACAATATTTACTATAATTAAGGAAATAACTTCGGAAATACTATAACGACAGTAAGAAATATGAGGTTAAACTGTAAATGTAGTTTTAATAATGCTTTGTTGCTGTATCAGTAAATTATACGAAATTGGTAACTATAAAATTTACATTATGATTTTTTCTAGAGGTATTTGCTATTCACAACGAGGTTTGAAGGGTGGGAAAGTCGTTAAGCAATACAGTTAGAACTTCAGTCCTATGTCATAAGGTAGGAAGTAGAATTCCTTATCGACACAATCACATGTCAAAGCATAGTATATCAGAAAACACATTTCAATTGCTTGATCTGTTAAGTACTGAAGCGATAAACAAGATTGCAATTCTAGAGTATCTTCTTTGTATCGTACAAGTATCGTACCGTGGCAAATGAAATCGAAATAAATAAAAAACGAATAACGCAAGCTTCATGAAACTTCAGAAGAACCAATCATACGCAGAACACCACGAGTGGCCTTGTTCATTGCTTAATCTAGTGATAATTTCCGACTCACTGATGCAATTAAACTAAAAAGCAATTTATTCCGAGCAACTGAAAGCTTATTCAAATGCTGAAGATTTATTTGAGGTGCTATTCAATTTAAACCGTAATATGTTAGCACATGAGTCGATAAATGAATGCACTTATTGCACTAGTTTGATACTCTAATAGTTATGTAATGAAATAAGCGTTCTTGTCAAGTATCAACAGAACTTAGTGCTTTCAAGATTGTTATACTACTCGTTCACACATGAAATACTAAGATTCTACAACATTTCTTTTTAGTTTTTACTTTTTCATAAAATACTGCGACATCAACATTGTGGTTGCGACTTGGACACGGCAGAGCACACGCTCGTTGCCTGCCCCGCATGGGAGGGGTGGCGCCGTGTACTCGTCGCAAAAAAAAAAAAAAAAATAAAAAAAAAAGGATACACGAGTATTAGTATTATAGTAACAAGTGATGAAGCTTTATGAACATTACAACTTCGTCATCTTAACACAATGTTTTGGAGTAGGTACCTACGTACTGTTTTTTTTTACAAAGGCCAAATGTGGACCTATTCGTGAAATTCCAAAATTTACTACAACTCGGAATAACGCGTATCAAAAGCATACATGTACTTTCTTAAACTAATTACCTATTCGTTGCCATCCTAAGGGGCTATTCTAGCTACGCTCGGACCGGTAGGTAAGCTCACGGGCTCAACCTGACAGAATTTGCTAACACTAGCAAGAGCAGCGCTTCGCAGAATCTACCAGCGGATCAGATTCGCGATTCATTAATAAGATCTGGCGAGAAAGCCAGAGGGCTAAACTGGGCGTGCTATCCTATTACGTGGTAAACAACGAATAAGGTACGAAATATAAAGCTTTTAGCCGCGTCATGTGTTAGTGCGTGGCTGGGGATCTGACGCCTGGATAATGTACAACAGTGGACTGTCGTGTAATCCGCATACCACCCCTCCCGGGCCTCGAACGGTGGACGTCCAACGGGTTCCACGAGAATTCTTTGTCGTAACAAAATTT